ATTTCTGCACGTTTTCCCTTGCGAGGGCTATTTGGGTAAGGATGACTTTTACAGCCGCGGTAGGACCGTCCTATCCTATTAAAATTGGTGTATTTGCGATATATATATATGTCAGGAAGGGCAACTATTCCCATGTATTAACCCTGACATAAAAGTAAACTGGAGTCTTAATCTTAACCCTACCCTGCAGTTGACCTGAGTCGGAACCTTACAAACATAATTCGGGCCCTAACCCCAGCTCTGACCTTAACTCTAGCCCTGGAATTGGACGCAAAGCCAGTTTAGCAGTCAAAGCCGGAAGATGCAACTATTAGTTCATTGAACCACCATGCTGTCTTGTACACCGTGCGATTTTGTGCCTGCGTTCTTGTGCGTTCTTCACGATGCCAAAATAAAGCTAATACTACACCTTTTTAAACATTACTCGTGGTCGAAGCAATTTTCAAGTCCACATCTAATAAGTAAGCCTGATCACGTCGATACGCCTGTTCACAGAGACTGCAGAAGGTAAAGGGTTCGAAGAATGCAGTATGTCTTAAAATTTAAATGTTTCCATTTAGAACCGTTTTTGTGTGCTCTCGCATTCTTTTGCTTAAAAAAGTGAAGTTACAGGCAGATTTTTCAAAAGGACTACTTCAAAATTGTTTTTTTTAAACCAATTTTAAGAGGCTCTTTGTGCCTAAATTGACAGAAGCAGTATAAGGATTAAGTAGTTGAAAAAAAGTGAATAGTATCTCCTATTTCGTGACTGATTGGGCTAAGGAGTTGTCCGATGAATACTTCAATTCAGCAGAAAAAGTAAACCTTCGGCCCGTATGGCCACCTCATCATACGACGACAAATAACCCTGTCCGCCCCCCCATCCATAATGCTTCGAGTACTCGGTGATTTTGAACTTTAACCTCCACTTCCCCTCTTTATTTATTCTTGAATACTTTTTAGCACAAAGTACAGTAGTCGCCGGCTATTAAACCCATGGTTAATAATATCGCCGCTTATTAAGCCCAATTTGGTCTGGGCCCGAGGTGGACTTAATAACCGGCGAATGCTGCAATAAGCCCACGGTTAATAAGCCCGCCGCTTATTAAGCCCCATTTGGTCTGGGCCCGAGGTGGGCTTAATAGCCGGCGACTACTGTACTTTGTGCCAATTACGACTAAATTTCATTGTCTGTTCATCTGTGCCATCTACGGACTGCGTTGCCCCTCAGTCATCTTTACAGAAAATGGAATGCTCGCAATGATAGCTCATTTTGTCAATAGTGAAATCTCTGCTTTGTACTAAAACATTGTTACATCTACGTTTACCTCCAGGTTTTAGGGCAAATTCTTGCA